CACGCTACAATCCATCACGCTCCCTAAGGTCGCAAAACTCTGGACTTTTGGTAGTACCTAGGATAGCAAAGTCCACTAAAGGAGGTAGAGCTTTTTCGCATTTGGCTCCCAAACTCTGGAATAGCCTTCCTGATACCATTCGGGGTTCAGACACTCTCTCTGTTTAAATCTAGATTATAGACACATCTCTTTGGCCAAGCATTCAAATAATGCATCTCATAATCTTGTACTGCAGTTATATCTGAATTATTATTCTTTAGCTTGGGTTAAACAAATCAATTTTGCTTGGTTGGCACAGCAGCTACGCTAATTATGTCTCTATTTGTTTCTCTGTGGTAACTAGGATTTACACAAGATTCAGTCTGGATCCAGAACACCCAAGAAGAGATGATGCAAACTCCTCAGAGGACCTCAGATGATGCCAACCCTGATAACAACATGCCAACAACATACAGAACTACCAAATTTTGCTATACGTTTGATTGCATCATATAATAATTGCTGTTACGGTTTTTTTCAATTGCTAACATCCCTTTGTCCAATCTGTAGTCACATTTTCAAAACTCTAAACACAATTAGCACAACATCCGTCTGTTGTGACCATACCATTAACACAATTCATATTGTTTTCACACAATATTCAGTCAATTAACACGTTTCTAAAATGCTTACATTTTCTTTTCACACAAGCTTACCCAAAACCAAAATCATGGATCTTTCTTATATTTTTTTGTACAAATGCTTAAACACAGCATAACAGAAATGAAGACCTAATGTTCCAAACTTTAAATATAGTGTAAAGCCTCTACTTCTGCAACAACAGCAGCTTAAAAGAGCTGATAAGAATAATTTTAATTACTGATAACTGAGAAATAGCTGATTCCAATCTTAATGATTAATTCCAAGTCTTTCCATTACATGGCCATGCACAATAAAAAGGCACTCTCTGGACTGGTTTTATTCCAAACAATACAGAACAACACCGAGAATCAGAAAAAAAGCAATAAAATGTCTGGACGCGGGAGAGTTGGACAAAGGAGAGGAATAGTTGGACAAGGCAGAGGACAAGGTGGACTAGGGAGATGAGTAGTTGGACCAGGGAGCGGACAAGGTGGACTAGGGAGAGGAGTAGTTGGACCAGGACAAGGGAGAAGGAGAGGTAGGGGGAGAGGAGTAAGAATGCGTGGTGCAGTTCAAAATGAGAGTAAGAGCTGTTGTCACTGATGAAATAAGAGCCACCGTCATAGACCACGTGATAAATCATGGTCTGTCACTGAGAGAGGAAGGTGAAATAGTCCAGCCTAATCTCAGATGGTCAACTGTGGCTTCCATTATCCAAATTTTTCGACAAACCAACAGGTAAGAAATGCATTTCATGAGGGCCATAATTGCAGTTGTAATGTACCACAATAACTGCTGGCTAGCAGCAGCTACAAATACAAATATGTACAATTTTTGTTCTTCTAAAGGACACAACGACTTCCTTGCTCTGGGGGAAGAAGAAAGCTGCTTAATGAAGACCAAGGGCATGCAATTGTAAGATGGGTCATTGCTGACAATGTGATAAAACTCAGAGAAATTCAGGCCAGAATTGTACAGGACAACCTGCTATTCCAGAATTTTGAAAGCATCAGCCTGGCTACCATCGCTCGAACTCTGAACAAATACAGAATTCGAATGAAATAGCTGTACACAGTTCCCTTTGAAAGAAACAGTGAGGGGGTCAAGGAACTCCGACACCAATATGTCCTGGGGCCGGATTCATGAAAATCTTCTTAAAAGATAAGTTAAGAAATTTCTTAAGATAAATTCCACGAAGTTCGTAAAAATGTTCTTAAGTACAATTCTTGAAAAATTCTTAATTTCTCAAATATATTCTTAAGAACATCTTAATTTTTTTCTTAAGAAGAAAATAACAGTCGTTATCTGAGTGAATACATGATGCACTGATAACTCACACTTTATTGTCTTTTTGCGCTTCCTGCAGATTACCCCAATAATCTTAATAACCGCGCACATTATTTTCGTCGCAAGTTTGACTGGCGCTCAGCTTCACGTTTTTAATGCGCCGTGTTTTTGAACAGTTACTTTTACAGTTTTTTACGATTGCTTACACACTAAAATTAAACTTTTCCAACAATTAGCAAAACCTTACACTCAAGGAGCAAAACACAAGGCTAGATTTGCACAACTGTAAGCACATTGTCAGCTTCACACTATTTGCAAAACATTACACACAGTGATTTGCAAAACACTAAACACACTTGTATACATCAGACACAGAAGTATATCATGATGTCACTTCCTTGCAATTCCAAAGCACTGACTGTCAAATTACCACACCTATGAGCCAATCTGTTAAACACAGCCATCAGGTGCACAAACACATGATTGCTAAATTGTAGACACACCAATCAGGTTTAAGCACTATAAAAATGCAGCAGGTAGGTTCACCTGCCTTCAACCAAAATGGAAGGAGTCAGAAGAAGAGTGAGGGTGAGAGGAGGAGTACGCAGAGGCAGAGGTAGAGGTAGAGGAAGAGGTAGAGGTAGAGGAAGAGGAAGAGGAAGAGGAAGAGGCAGAGGCCGAGGAAGACCTGAAGCAGGAGGAGAACGTGCACAAAGAAGAAGAGGACCAAACTTATCAAATGACATTCGTGCAACACTAGTGGACCATGTTGTGAACCACGGATTGACGCTGAGGGAGGCTGGACTGAGAGTTCAGCCAAATCTTAGCAGATATACAGTGGCATCTGTCATAAGGACTTTTCGACAGGAAAACAGGTAAAAGAAGATCTGTCTACAGTTACAGTAATCAGCCGCTTATTGTATGCACCATATCAGCACTTGTGATACCCCTTCCTGTGACATTGTACAGTAAGTTACATGTATTATTCTCTACATAGGATTGAGGGTCGGGAACGACAAGGAGGAAGGGGGCCCATATTCACGCAAGAACAAGAGAGAGAGATAATAAACATGGTTTTGGCCAATAATGCTATCAGGCTCAGAGAACTACAAGCAAACATTATCGGTGACCATGCCATTTTCAATAATGTCCATCAGGTCTCTCAGTCAACACTGGCACGCATCCTGAAAAGACATCAGGTTCAAATGAAACAACTTTATCGAGTGCCTTTTGAGCGGAATTCAGAGAGGGTCAAACGGCTGCGGCATGAGTATGTGGAGGTTTGTATTGTTCACTTTAGCACTGTGATGTTGCATACTCCACACATTACTTTTTTACATTGACTGTAATATACTAGACCTATCCTGAACTACACAATGTTGTCTTTCACTGTATTTCAGAGAGTTTTGCAGATGGATGCTGAGGAAATCCTGCATGAATTCATATATATTGATGAGGCAGGGTTCAACCTCACAAAAGCAAGAAGGAGAGGCAGAAATATCATTGGCCACAGGGCTATAATCAATGTCCCAGGGCAACGTGGGGGTAACATAACCCTTTGCGCTGCCATTTCACAGCATGGGGTTCTCCTCCATGCCAAAATGGGCCCTTACAACACACCTCACATTCTCGCATTTTTGGACCGCTTGCGCCAGATCCAGCTAGGCGAAGAGATAATGTATAGTATGTTTACTGTAGTATTTTCTGTACAATATTTTCAGTTTTTTCAGATTATTTTTTATGGTTGTTGTTGTAATTGTAACCTGTACCGGATACAGTATTTTACATTTGTCTGTTGTTTGCTGAGCTAACAGTGTTATGCACACTACTGTAGTAGCATGACAACTGGGACATGTTTTGTTGTGATTCTCCATGTTGACTGATTTGGGTATATGGAGAGAAATCAATGATATTTTCGTCAGTCTGCAGCATTGGTCTTGTGTAGTGTTTGGTGAACTATTGTATAGTTGCACTTTCTCTGTGTACTTCATTTACAGTACTCTAATCACTGAGAATTAGACTTGCTAAAAGTGTTTTAGGTTAGCAACAGCAGTGTGTAACTGGTTCAAAAAGATTAAAGTCATATGAAATGTGTGTGTTTCGTATGGTAACAAAATATTGTTTTTATAAAGTTGTGTATAGTTTTGACAAAAGTGTTCCATTTTGCAAATGATCTGAAGTGTTGTGCTACTTTGGTGTAGGGTTGTGTTAATTGTGTGTAGTGTTTTGACAAACCGGGCCCTGTTTTCAAAATTGTGCTTAAGCAATCGTAAACAACTGTAATATGTTAATATTAACACACTGGTCTCAAACTCAATTCCTGGAGGGCCACAGCTCTGCACAGTTTAGCTCCAACCGTAATCAAACACACCTGATCCAGCTAATCAAGGTCTTCAGGATCACTAGAAACTTCTAAGCAGGTGTGATTTGGAGCTGGTTGGAGCTAAACTCTGCAGAGCTGTGGCCCTCCAGGAATTGAGTTTGAGACCAACTGGGACATGTTTTGTTGTGATTTTCCATGTTGACTGATTTGGGTATATGGAGAGAAATCAATGATATTTTCGTCAGTCTGCAGCATTGGTCTTGTGTAGTGTTTGGTGAACTATTGTATAGTTGCACTTTCTCTGTGTACTTCATTTACAGTACTCTAATCACTGAGAATTAGACTTGCTAAAAGTGTTTTAGGTTAGCAACAGCAGTGTGTAACTGGTTCAAAAAGATTAAAGTCATATGAAATGTGTGTGTTTCGTACAGTAACAAAATATTGTTTTTATAAAGTTGTGTATAGTTTTGACAAAAGTGTTCCATTTTGCAAATGATCTGAAGTGTTGTGCTACTTTGGTGTAGGGTTGTGTTAATTGTGTGTAGTGTTTTGACAAACCGGGCCCTGTTTTCAAAATTGTGCTTAAGCAATCGTAAAAAACTGTAAAATAGCCTGTCTCAAGCTGCAGCGATATGTTTCATTCATTTTTGTGCTGTGTTTTTGCACTCTCATCTGAGTGAATGCTTCCGGTATGTGTGTTCGCGGTGCTACAGCAAACGCGTCCTGCGCATTCATGTGCGCTGAATACTGCCAAGGATTATGTAGTATTTAAAAGCTAAAATTAAAAGCGTTCAATTAAAGCTCCCTATCTGACTCATTTTAGAGTTGCTACTGAGTTTTGAAGTCAGCAAAAGTAGCGTCACACATAGGCTAATCATGACCGATCATTGTTTACATTATCAGTCATCGCTGTCACTTCAGAAAACTCATGCACATCCCTATTAATAGTCCTACTATTTATTATATGTAGCTAGTGTTGTTGTAATGCTGAAATATAACAATTTATTTGAAATAACCCAATAAATTCATTAAATAATTCTTACTGTTTGGGATTTAAGACAAGTCTGGGGCTGTCCTAAATTTAAGAAGTTATTTACGATGATTTTTAAGAAGATTATTTTCAAGAATTTGAATTCTTCTCAAGTTTTGTCTTAAGAACAATCTTAAGAAAAAATATAAGAATATTCTTAAGATTAATTTTTGGGAATACAAAATATTCTTAACTTTTTTCTTAAGTTAAAAAATAAGAAGAAAATGGCAGTTAAGAAGAAATTTCTTCTTAAGAATGTTTCATGAATCCGGCCCCACGTGCCTATACACTATATCTGATTCTAGAGTGACTTTTACACTATTCTACACTTTCTTTCACTATTGTCTATTGTAAACATACCCACATAGTGAAAAGCATTTAAACATCATGTGTTTGATTTCTTTCAGACAGTTATGGAGTTGGAGGCTAATGAGACACCACATGAATTCATTTATGTGGACGAGGCAAGATTTAACCTGGCAAAAACTCGTAGACGAAGAAGAAACCTAATTGGAAAAAGGGCCACCGCTGATGTGCCGGGTCAGAGAGGAGCAAATATCACAATGTGTGCTGCAATGTCAAGTGCTGGTTTGGTCCTGCAGAAAAGCCAGCTTGGTCCCTACAACACAGAGCGCCTTCTTTTGATTTTAGATGACCTCCACCAACAACTGGTGCCAGAAGCAGAAAGGGAACAAGTGGGAGGAAACATGAGGACATTTGTGATTGCATGGGACAACGTAGCATTCCACCATTCACATGCAATCACAAATTGGTTTGCAGCCCATCCGAGAATGATTTCCCTTTTTCTTCCTCCGTACTCTCCTTTCCTCAATCCCATTGAGGATTTTTTTTCTGCCTGGAGGTGGAAAGTCTATGATCATCGACCACATGATCAAATGTCCCTCCTGGATGCAATGGAGGCTGGCTGCAGAGACATCTCAGCTGAAGACTGCCAGGGGGGGATAAGGCATGCTAAGCGTTTCTATCCAAGGTGCATAGCAAGAGACAATATAAGGTGTGATGTCGACGAGAACATGTGGCCAAATGCTGAAGGTCGTATAGATTAGAACTGTACTTTTTCTGTTCCTTTTTTGTCTGTCTTTGTTTTATTTTTGAAGTTTATTTGAACCAAAGGGCAAAGGGCTGTATGTTTTTTTTTGTTTGTTTGTTCTTTATGATCACTGACAGCAATTTCATTTTGCCAATAAAGCTTTTACTGCAGCAATTCTGTCACTTTTCTTTTACATTCCATAAAGTACTGATGACTCCTTCACTATGCTGTACACATACAATCTAAAATGAATCCACACATTTAAACACACAAAAAAAAATTTAGAGTTCAGCTGACTGAATTATTATTATTATTATTTAAACATTTTTTAATGGATCTCATATTGTATGTTCTATACAGGTCGAACTGAGACATGACAAGTAATGCCGTTTTTGTAATGCCATTAATTGTTATCATTTTGACAGTCTATGCACTATGATCGACTATATGTTCCTATTGGATAGAAAACCTGTGCCAATGTTTTGACTGAATGACTCGATTTTGAATCGGGTTTGCTGTGTTTTGATAGAGTTAGTAAATGTAGAAAAAGGTGTTCGTCATTTTGAAACGTAGAGTTTGTATTTATTTAACAAAATGTGGTTTTGGCCAGAAAATTAACTGTTTGGCTAATTGTGTGATGTAGGTGTGTTGCTGTGTTAAGAGTTTAGAAAAAGTACGTTAAGTATTGGTAAACGCTTGTTAGCAATTGAAAAAAACGGTAATAGTGTTCATCGTCTGTTTGATTACGTCTTTAATTGGTTTTTCCGTACATTTCTGCCATATGTACATTAACTGACAGTTTTATGATCACTGACAGCAATTTCATTTTGCCAATAAAGCTTTTACTGCAGCAATTCTGTCACTTTTCTTTTACATTCCATAAAGTACTGATGACTCCTTCACTATGCTGTACACATACAATCTAAAATGAATCCACACATTTAAACACACAAAAAAAAATTTAGAGTTCAGCTGACTGAATTATTATTATTATTTTTTAATGGAGCTCATATTGTACAGGTCGAACTGAGACATGACAAGAAATGCAGTTTTTGTAATGCCATTAATTGATATGATTTTAACAGTCTATGCACTATGATCGACTACATGTTCCTATTGGATAGAAAACCAGTGCCAATGTTTTGACTGAATGACTCGATTTTGAATCGGGTTTGCTGTGTTTTGATAGAGTTAGTAAATGTAGAAAAAGGTGTTCGTCATTTTGAAACGTAGAGTTTGTATTTATTTAACAAAATGTGGTTTTGGCCAGAAAATTAACTGTTTGGCTAATTGTGTGATGTAGGTGTGTTGCTGTGTTAAGAGTTTAGAAAAAGTACGTTAAGTATTGGTAAACGCTTGTTAGCAATTGAAAAAAACGGTAATAGTGTTCATCGTCTGTTTGATTACGTCTTTAATTGGTTTTTCCGTACATTTCTGCCATATGTACATTAACTGACAGTCACCACTGATAAGCTACTAATAAATATTGTAGAAACTTAATTTGCTGTAAAGTTGCTTTGCAACGATTTGTATCGTGAAAAGCGCTATACAAATAAACTTGAATTGAATTGAATTGATTATTACAATTAATGGTAAAAGGAATTTTTGGAAATGTAAACTGATATTTTCTACTGACACACTACAGCAAAAGATAGAAATAACTGACTTCTTGATGAAAATACCAGTGGCCTAAGACTTTTGCACATTACTGTATATAATTTTAAAAGCAATGTTATGGATAGAGGACTTCATCCACATTTTGGATATTCAGACGGTGAGAAAATATTTAGCAAATTTTTCAATTTGTCAGTCCCGTGGCAAAAACAGAGAAACAAATAGAGACATAATTAGCGTAGCTGCTGTGCCAACCAAGCAAAATTGATTTGTTTAACCCAAGCTAAAGAATAATAATTCAGATATAACTGCAGTACAAAAAGTCAATTTTTACATAAATTAAAAATGTGAATTTTTTCATAACCTATATCAATAGTATTACTAATAAAAAAACACACATCCTCTATTAATACTGTAAAGATAGTTGTGGACACAGATGCAGGAACTTCAAATCTTAAAATCTTACTCGCTGACAGCACAGATTTAAAAAGAGACAGCTTTTATTTAAATGAGCAAAATTCTCACTTTTAAAATCACTTCCCTTGCAAGCTTTTGGTTCATTTAAACTCAAACATGACCAAAAGTGGTGACACAGTTCTCAGGCACACACTCCTCTGCTCCATCACTCATACGCCCACTCTGCGTTCCAGTGAAATCATAAAATAATTCTAGCCTACCCAGACTTTTATGGATGCATAGGTGCAGGGCCTATACCAGACCTTTACAACGTTGTGCCAGAGATACAGTTATGCTTTTCTTCTGTGCTGTGCTCTGACAGGTTTTGTCCCTAGATGCTTAATCCAGAATTCAAGGATGTCACTTTGCTCTGAATCAAAAGAATGCTGGAAGCTTTCACAGAAAGAGTTCTCTTGAATGTAATCCTTTTGCCACTGGCAGGGAGTCATCCGTGACATTTTGGTCTATGCAATAGCTCCCAATTTAAGAGTGATCTCTGTCTTGACTCTTGAAAATGACAGAATGAGAGAATGATAGAGTAACTGTGAAAAATGATAAAATTATCTCCTGCAGCTCGCACTGACCTTCACTTCTACATGAAGTGTTTTGCAGCAAAGCAAACTGCATCTACAGTGCAAAGATAAGAGTGCCACACCATGCTGCCTGTGGCTCAGATCTTTAGAAATGTTCCTAAATTGGAAATTACTTATCTACAAGGAGGCTTCAAATGGTTATTCTGATTGAGTGGTTTAGTCTCTGCAGGAATCAAATTCTTCTTCCTGCTGAGCTCCAGTCCAACTAGTCAGTAGTCATGTTACATATGTTGTGTGGTGATAATAAAAAACAGGACATAAGAGAGGCCATATCTGCCTGAAAGAGATGACAGTGATTTTTTTTTTAAAGGGATAATTTAGCCAAGATTAAAAAAATCTTTCATCATTTACTCTCTTTCATGTCATTCAAACCCTATATGACTTACTTCTTCTGTGGAAAATAAGGTCTAAAAATTGAAAAAGCACCATTAAAGTGTTCAATAGGATTCTCTATTTCAAGGTTTATCAATCCATATGATAATTTTGTCTGATGCATAGTTCTTCCCTCCAGTGAGCTGTTAGCTCAAGAGATGCTTTGACTGGATCATTGAGATTGGTTTGCAAATTAATTAACCAAAAAGAACAAGCTTAAAAGAACGATTCGTTCATTGATTCCACTTCAACTACCTGACAGCTCACTGGATTATTCATGACTTTAAACTTAAATCAGGGTCTGTTCCTCACACCAAGCTATCTTAATGTTGGATCCATAACCTTGTGTGCAGTGCTCCAACATATGGTGCAGCTGCAGCCTGGGTGATCCCAGTTTGAGTGCCAGCTTGAGGTCTTTTCCCAGTCCTGTTTCTCTCCTTACTCTCTCACTGTTTCCTGCCTTTCCTCTTACTGTCCTGTCTAATAAATGTGAAAAAGCCCAAACATATGACTTGCATGAATTTTGGAGTTTTTTTTCTTCTTCTGTAATTCATTCTGTAATTAAACCGAGGTGGTCCTTGTGTGAATTAGTGTGTTTAAAACATATCAAAATAGAGGTTTCAAATGACACGAGAATGAATGTTAACAGTTGTACTTTGTGAAAGTAATGATGTTATGGTCTGGTCTGTGCAGGATTATTAATGTATACTAAACTAAAACTATTAAAATATTGGTAAAACTTTGACTATAGAATAAGGTCCAATTAGTTAAAGTTAGTAAATACATTAACTAACATTAACTAACAATGAGCAATTAATTTGTTCATTGTTGTTGCATTTTTGCTCAGGTCTATGAAATGATATTAACAGAAACAAATTACGATTTTAATAATGTATTTTTAAATGTTAAAATTAACATTAAGATTATTAATGTGATTATGAAATGTATTTTTCATTGTTAGATAAACTTAGCTAATGTAGTTGATTAATGATAACAAATGGGACCTTATTGCTGTCACGCTGCGCTACTGTGTTGGAGCGAGGAACTTGGAGCACGCAGGAGAATTACCATAAACACAATCTTTATTATTCGTAACCACAAGAAACATGGAACACACACGTAGCTGGAGATCGATGAACAATACCGGACACTCGACTGGAAACAACACAGGGCTTAAGTAATAAGGGAGCTAATGGGACACACCTGGGATCAACTAAACGGGGAACACCAGGAAACAAATTACATAATCAGGACAGGAAGGAGTATAGGCATATTAAATCTGGTGGAATTTGCAGAAAACAATTAGATTGAAAAAAAATTTTTTCTGCCGACACCAAGTAGGCTATATCTGTCACGGTGCTGCGACTGTGTTGGAACGAGGAGACGAGGAGCACGTAGGAATTTCTCAAAGAACATCTTTATTCATCCAAATCAAGATTCACATGGAACAGGCAGGAACACACACGTAGCAGGAGGGTTAGACGTACAGTACTGGATGCTAGACAGGAAACAACACAGGACTTAAGTAATAAGGGAACTAATGGGACACACCTGGGATCAACAGAACTAAACGGGGAACACCTGGAACCAAATTACATAATCAGGACAGGAACAGGAAGGAAACCAAACATGGGCATAAACTGAACATGGAGCACGTGGGGGAGGATAACACAAGACACAGGACTGACAATTGCAGTGTTAGCAACAATTTTTGTTGTTTGAAATAAAGCTGAACTAAAATAAAATTTAACTATTAGTTAAAAAACTAAATGGAAATTAGAAATGTTGGCTTGGCAACTAATTTAAAGTTTTTGAAAAGTGTCAGTTATAAATTTAAAAACTGAAACTGAAATAAAACACACACACAGGTTTGTTTTTGTGAATTGTGGGGACATAGATCCTAAAGTGAAGTCTAAGAGTTGTGATGATGGTTTCTAAGACCGTATATCCCGAGCTTGTAGATGAGGTGGTGTCGAGGAGAGGCGTTAGACGTGACTCGTGCCTTGATGGTGATTGTACCTGAGGATATGGAGATAACTCAGATTGAAGAAAATCTGCAAACCATTAAATGTTTAGGGCGCGTGCGAGTACGAGGAAGGATGTACAATCGTAAGCTAGATAGCTTAGCAGTGTTGTGTGAAAGCACAGTTTGTTTATTTTATTTTTTTCTGAACTGAACGGATCTTCATTTATGGGCCCCAACGAGTTTGAAATTATTATGATGACTATGGGTTTCACTGTTATTTGAAGAATTTGATACACAAGTCTGTGGAAATGTATTGTTTAATTTTGACAGGGATTTGAAACACAAATTTGAGTGAACTGAAACAGTTTTTGTATTTTATTTTA